TTGTTTTCATCCTGACAGACTGTACAAATGTTGTAAGAGACTTGAGAGAGTGTGATATTTTAATGCGATGGGAGGAGAGACTTTAACAAAGTGATTGTACAGTCAATAGAACTGGATGAGTAGGTCAGTTGACATGCATGGTATGTTCTTTTTTAATTACAGCCATGCCGGCCCTAGCTAATAAGCGAAATATGCGGTTGCATAGGGCCCCGTGGCCACCAGGGGGCCCAATGTCAGGGTTCAGTAATACTTGGAAATATTTGAAAATAAAAGAGGAGGCACAATCAATCTGGTGCAGAGAAGTGGAAAAAGAGGAAAGCAAGTGAGCAAGCTTAAGGTAAGTGATGGGTTTTTAAAGTATTTTGTTGAAATGGCAGTTGCTGGATCATATCTTATCGGTTTAATCAAACTCACCTGAACAAGATAATCAAGGTCTTCAAGATCACTAGAAAGTTACAGGCAGATGAGTTTGATCAAGGTTGGAGCTAAACTCTGCAGGAAAGTGGACCTCAAGGGTCAGAGTTGAGAACTTCTGTGTTTTAGGGAATTAATGAATCAGATTCAGTAAAAGATGTACAGTTTTAATACTAACGAAAACAAAATAATATATAAATAAAACTAAATATTTAAACAACATGAAGAAACATATGCCATAGTATGATAAGGATTCCCCTTTCTAAACTATTAATGAGGCTCTTTTTCTCTTTGCACTGTCTATATGAGAAGAAAACCTTTTACGTTTCATTACAGAGGATAATAGGCAGTATTGAGAATGGATGGATGGAGTTAAAATACATCATGTTACTTACAATGACTGAACAATTAGAGAAAACGATGTACCGATAATCCCACACATTTTAGGATTCACATTCTCATGCTAATTCATGTCATTTACCTGTTTATTTCTCACATAGTTGTGTCTCTTTTTGCTAATTAAAACTAAAGGAATAAGACTCATTAGCAGGCCAGTCTTATGAATCTCTATTGAGATTGTTGGGGAAAGGGGGAAGCAACCTTTAAGTTATTTTAATTTCTCATTAAAATTTTTAAATAGAAGCATGGTGATATTTCTGAGATATGTCTGAAATGTGTTTCCTTCTGGAGAAAGAATCCAGTCATGGGAAGGAGAGGACAGCCAGAAGCAATGTACTTTTTTTTTACTCTATTTTTTTTTCTCTCGCTGAGCAAAACTTTTGCGAATTTAACTACGCAAAATTGGAATATCGCATAAAACATTTGCGAATAAGCACTGTTTCCATCCAATTAGTCAAAGAGAACAAAATCATCACTTCCTGATAAACTGGCACTAAATATCACTAAGAAAAGTTGAAGCTACTGAATATAATAAATTTCATATAATAAATGACTTGTGCCTCACAGCGAGCAGAAACGTAATAAGTGCGGTCATTGCTTTCAGAGGTGAATGCTGCTGTTTAGGAACGCAGTCATGCAAGATAGTTCTGGGAGGCAATTATACAGAAATACTTTGATGACAGACTTTGCTCGGGCATTTAGGAAAGACCATAACAACATTTCAGATGCTGTGCAACAAGCGGTCCGCTGGTTGGTCAGGTTATGCCGTCCCATCGCACAAAGTCACATGACATTTTTGATGAGCATGGAGGAATTTATTCGCAAAATGCGTTTCCACCTCCCATTATTCACATTTAACCCTTTTTTGCACAAGTCAAAAACCACCTCAAGCGAGTGCAAAAACTTTGAGAATTAAGGGATTTTTTCAGAAATTTGGCATTTCCATCAGTGGTTTCTGATGCGATACTTCAAAATGCGCATAAAAAGAGGGTGATGGAAACATACTGTAGCTACTCTTTCAATGAAAACTAATTCTATAGCGGTTAACCAGAGCACTGCAATTACTTCTCATTTACTAGAACACAATCAAATACAGTAGCCGTCCTCACACATTGTATGCCTGTCCTCTGCGCTGCATTTTATTTTTTTCTGTGCCACCACAACATTACAAGCACAGGGAAGAGGAAACATTGACCAGAAGAACCAGCAGGAAAATCCGCGATGGTGACACTTTTGTGAATGAACAGACGGCAGCATCATCAGTTCTTTCACAGTGTATTCAAGCTGACAAAACAAATGGCAACAGTGCTGGCAATGTCGCATAGTCTCTGACAAGATTATGACCTGAGCTGTAAACCGTGTTGAGAGCACCTTCGGCACGTAACCCTTCTTGGGTTTAAGAATAACTTTACAATCATTCAGCATGAATTCCATGTAAGCGCCAAAAGTAGACAGCACTTTAAAGTCCACCACTCACTTTACAGAAGTAGTAATTAGTAGTAATTCAGCTGTCAGCAGTGGCTCGAACAGAGGCTCTGCCAGAGATTTTAGGATCAAGACCAAGTCTGAAGTGAGCAATGTGGAGGGGTGAAGGGGTTTAACCGGCTCGCTCCCCTCAGAAAGCTTATCAACAGGTGATTGATTTGTGAATGAAAAATCATAATAGCAGCCACATACACTAGAAGAGGGTAGCACAACTGCCGTAAGAAACTGTAAGAATGACAGTATTATTGACACGGGACAATTCACCAGAACTTCACCATGCGTTCTGCACCAGTCCACAAACACTTTACACTTATGGGCAATATTGGTGCCTGGTAGAGGGAGTCTGTGCCTCAGTGATTGTGTTCAGCGCTCGCTGTGGCACAATCTCTGGTGGTGATGGGCTCTGCTGACCAGCCAGACATGCAGGTTCATCAGTTCTGGTCTTAGGTGCCAGATTGTGTCCCACGCTTGGATGACCCTTCTCAGTGGTATGGTCAAGAACTTTTTTGCTTATTTATTGAAAGTCCCAAACACCTCAAGTGATCAATCAGTTTGAATTTTGGGAGGTTTATTTGAGTATTTGAATGAGGATAATCTGGCCAAGATCATGCAATACTCCAAATAATTCAGTACACACAATCTTAAAGGGGAAAACCATGTCCACACATTTTGTGAATGTGCGTGAAGCTCATGACAGGCCGAGGGGCAAGATAATGAATAAGTATGCAGTGCCTTCAAAAGTAAATCTCAGAAAGCACCTGTGATGAGGAGCTATCTGTATATAAAAGTAGTCAATGGGGCGGACTGTGAATGTAGGCTTCTGCAGTTTGTCGGCTTGCCACTTCAGAAAAGGTTGCGCTTTGGCCACAAAGTCTTGGGTCTCACAGCTGCTCAGGTTCTCTGCAACAGGCTGAGGTGGATCTAGAGGTTTGCCTGGTTGAGCCGAACACTGAGCTGAAGAGGTGAGTTGTGGAGGTTTGAGTGAAGACAGCAGCTGACGTCAAGGAGAAAGATTTACTATTTCGCACATTTGAATATAATTTTCAGTGTAGTTCACATTTCAGTATTTCTTGGAGAAAGGAGTTTCCCCATAGTGTCAGCTATTGATACAGTGTTAAATGTATATTTATGTACTGTATGTCTACACTCACAGAAACTGAAAATCTCAAGAGTCTGAACATCTTGCAATGCGATTTTGCAGGGAAGTTGTCCTCATCAATATTGAACATATATATGTTTGATGTTATCATGGCATGCTTGCAAAGGCAAGATAATTAGCAACTGTGCGTGACCTTTTTATTTTTTTGTTTTACATGTCATGTTTCCAGCACGGAAACGTAGGTGCGCTCAGCTTGAAGAGGCCTTGCGCAGACCGATTTGCGTACCATCTGGACATTGGTCGCCGTGATTTTGCCAAGTAAGACATGTTGCTGGATCAACATCTTTTGATGATCCTGGATCAACATTATTGTCCAAAAATATAGACTTGGGGACATGGGGTAATGTCCTCATAAGTCACCTTCTCCTTGTAATACCTATGTCATGGTCGCTGTGATTTTGCCAAGTAAGACATGTTCCTGGATCAACATCTTTTGATGATCCTGGATCAACATTATTGTCCAAAAATATAGACTTAACCCAATCCCTACCCCTAAACCTAACCTTACCCATAATTTATTGCTAAAATCAGTGTGAAATGATAGCTGATTAACAAGGGTGTAGAAGCACCTAACCCTGATTTTAAGCCCAAAACAGATATTTCCTGAAAAGTTATACCTCAATTCTGATTGGTTGATTGGAAAGTTGTTCCAGGATCAACAAGGATGTTGATCCAGGAATGTTGTACTTGGTGAAACCACACTCACCTCTGGACTTTACGCAAGGATTTAAAGGGATAGTTCACCCAAAAATGAAAATTTGATGTTTATCTGCTTACCCCCAGGGCATCCAAGATGTAGGTGACTTTGTTTCTTCAGTAGAACACAAATGATGATTTTTAACTCCAACCGTTGCAGTCTGTCAGTCGTATAATGCATGGCAATGGTAACAAAATCTATAGGGTGTCCCATCACACACCTGCCTGACTGAAGATCCAGACTTTTCTTCACTGTTGAGCCGCAGCGTTTTGCACATTGTGTTTAGCTTGCCACGTATAAACTGGAGGCGACGTCCAAGGCCAGAGGGACCCAATGGCACGCTGTCAATAGAGTGAGTAATGTGTTGTATTTGTAATGTTATTGCAATGAAATCTCTGTGTCTCTGTAGTAAAACCATGGTTAACCATAGTTTAAACATGGTGCCTGTAGTACAACAGTTGTTATACAAATGGAAGTAAACCACTAAAAAACATGGTTTTATTACATCAAATCTTCCTTTTATTTGTTACTTTTCGTAAAGGGCAGCTTTACAAATAAAAAGGACACATACAAAAATCTTGTTCACATACCTCAGTTGGATGCGGAAAAACCATAGGCACAGCTGATGGTTTAAGTCGTACGTGATCCTCCACCTACATCTTGGATGCCCTGGGGGTAAGCAGATAAACATCAAATTTTCATTTTTGGTTGAACTATCCCTTTAAATGTTAAGCGGAGTATCCAGACGACCTGAGGAGGGCAGTAATACGCCAGTGATGCGTCTAGCCTGCCGCAAATTCTATAAGAAGAAGAAGATTTGCGTACCAAAGTACCGCGAGACCTACACAGACCTACACGGCATATACAGAAGACCGCACTGTATGCTTTCGACTCACTCTCGCGATAGTTTGATGTCATAAACCTTTCGGTCTGCGCTACACTTAGCACATACTTTCAGTTTCCCTACAAGTAGCATTTTAGAAATAGTATGTAAAATAACCATTATTTATATCGGGGCACCATGATCATCGGGTATGTTTATGTTTTTTAGTGATATTCTGTTTCTTCAAAACGACTTGTAGGCTACTTCCCACACATTTCACTTCACATCTGCCGCGATACGTGAAAAAAAAGTGATAAAGTTTGCAGGCTCGCATGTGCATTTGACCTGATTTGTTTTGGGCTCTCGCTCAAACTAGCATTAGTAAACAAACATTTTCATCGTCATTAATGCATTATTCGTGTTCTGATTAGTTAACGAGTGATTAATACTCAAAGAAATAGCGGTAGCAGATCTATCCATTAGAATTAGCATGTTTTATGGCCTTTGTGTCCCGGTGCATGTGCGGTTAGTTTTTGTTGTTGTTGTTTTAATGTCAGTTTGACTGGTTGAGTCTTAAAGTGCTTTCAAAATATTGAAGATTTTACCAGTATGGGAGGATGGGTGAACATGCTTAACAACAACATTTTCTGCTGAAACATAATCAGAGTTTAGCATCTACAGGATAATAATGCAACAGCCAGTATATTGTTAACATAAATTGTAAAGATTTAAGTTTTAAATTGAAGCATTTTGACAAGTTAGTGACAAACATAATCCAGTTAACCTGAATCCTATTTAATGTTTATTATATAAATATTTTTAATTGAAAGGATAGCAAAATAGCAATAGACTATTAATTCAGATTGAATAATTTCACTCAAATGGTCTTTAGGTTATGATGAATGATGAAAATTTTATTGAATAATAACTCCATGAATTATTATAATTATTATAGTAAACAATAAAAACAGCAGCAACACCTTGCCACAGTTGTGAGGGGGGCATCTTACCCTAATCCTATCACTTTAATTTTCCACATCAAAATAAAAATATTGAAATATTAAGATACTTTTTATTAAAATAACCAAGTCTTAAGTCTAAACAGGGTTTCATTACTTTATTTGTACTTTAGTGAAAAACAGTTTGTCCACACTGAATGTGACAAGAGGCCTGTTGCACAAAGCCGGTTTCGGGTTTTCAGGTAAGTTCACGTTTAGTTTGAGCAAACTCGGAGTTGTCGGGATCAAGACGGTGGGTTGGTTTTGAGCGGGTTTCGTCGCCATGGTAACTTAGACTACACGGCTCCCCTGCTATTGAGCAGGTTTTATTCTGTGTTAGAGATCGCAAACACAAACTGGACCAATAAACTGTGAACAAAGTGACATGAATCTAACGCAATAAGCCACCCCCCCTTATTTCTCGCTTCAAATTAAAGCAGTTTGCCTTCTCAAAATTTAGCTGCAGCAGCAGTGTTTATTTCTGCCTTGTAAATGCATTTAAATACATATTTTTAATAACGATGACATATCTTAATTTTCAACAGAGCAGTGAATTGCACCGACTCGCGAGAAGTGAATCAAACCGATGATCTCCATGTTCTGTGTGATTGGCTGTTTGCTGCACTTGTCACACTTTCAGCTGCACGCGCTCTAGAGTTAATCACAAACTCTGGATCAACCCTGGAGTTGACAGAACGTTTATATCTATCTTTCTGAGCCCGCTGAACCTGATCTAAACCAGGTTGGATTTGTTTGGTTTTGTCAACTCTAAACCTACTCTGAAACTGCTTGTTCAGCTGGCTTCATGCAACAGGCCAAAGGAGTCACGTGACACAATCAAAATTTTATCTTAGTCTTAGAAAAGTATTAAAATTAGCTTCATAAACCTGTAGAAACCATGTCTGTGGTTAAGAGAAATATTAAAGGTGGGTGGGGCATCTTGATCATGCAAGAATCAGTGCTGCTTTCACGGGTTTCCTTGTCGGAAATTGGACATGAACGTCATTTCAAGTTGTATTTACAACTGGGAAACTGAGATTATTTTGATACCAGAGTTTCTGTTGGGTGTGGCCTAACTTTAAATATGGTGTAGAAAGAAACCGTTGTAGTACTGTAATGTTTTATTTGTTTTTCCCACAACATCTATATTGCTTTCTCCTGGCATTTTAGTCATACAGTCATGTATATTTATATATGTAAATATACAGTCATGTATATTTACATATATAAATAACTATTTGATGCATATTGTATGTATTTAACACACTGAAAATGGCATTTATTTGACCTAGATTCAAGAATCATCAGCCAGTTGAAAATCGGCTTAAATAAGATTTCACCAAGAAACAGGCAAAAGTGAACTCATGAATGGGCCGTACCCATAGACTGTAAAAAAACATGGACGTAGTGTCCGTGATGTCACTCGTAGGGTTCAGAAGCATTTTTGAAGCCTAAAGTGGGCGGAGCCGACTGCCGCCATCTTGGCAGC